CACAAGAGACCCCTGGAGAATTGTCCAACAATGGGCAGGGGTCATGGAGGCTAAATATCCCACAACACATGATGAAGAATTACCCAAAATGCTAATTGTCCTTTCCTTACACAACACGAAAGGCCTTGTAGGATAAAGTAGAGAATTAATTTTTTTTCTAAGCGTTGATAAAATAAATCATGGGAGTTTGAGTTACAAAATTTGCTTAAGTTTTAAAATTTTTAAAAAGATAATTTTCACTACTAAGTTGAAAATGGAGTCGGGGAAAAGTTGGAGGCAAGGAGACCAGTTAGGAGGCTGTGACAACCATCCCGGTGAGAGACCGTGGTAGTTGAAACCAGAGAGGGGAATAAGAATAGTAGTTAGAACATGAGGAAGCCATAAGAACTGGTCAGCTTCACGGTGTGTTTCAAATGTAGAAGAAACAAGACTTACTGATGGATTGAATGTAGTGTGTGAAGGAAAGAGCAACGGAGTAAATACTGCTGTTTACTGAGATGGCTGAGATTGCAGAGGAATGGGGGATGGGAAAGAGGTGTAGTTTTGCACCTGGGGACTGCAAACCACCAGTTAGTTTTGTTAGTAGAGTTTAAGGGAGATAACATACGTCGAGTGCTTGACATAGACCAGAGCCTATCTCAAACGTTAGCTCATTAGCTTCCTTAGCTTCCCTTTTGTGGTATTTGACATTTTTAAGAACTCTCTTCCTCTAAAAATTCTGTTTCCTTTGCTCCTGCAACCTCTTTCTGTCTTTATTATGTTATCTTTTCAGCACATTTTACAGTTCCTCTTCTTAGACACCTCCCTTGCATGCTGGCCTTTCCAGTATTCTGTCTTTGAAGCTCTTCTCACAGTTTTGGTGTCTATCCTAGTCTTTTTCTTGAATAAATTTATATATTTTGTTAACTGCACAAAGTCATGTTTGGTTTTGCCCATTTAAACATTATCACACAATCCTATTCTAAAAGACAAATGCTCATTAAAAACAAACAAAAATAAAAACTCACAACCTTAATAACCTAGAAGATTTGTCATTTAAAGAAGGTTTAAAAGGAAAAAAAGGGGGTGGCAGAAGAGAGGTTTTCTTACAAGCTTTTCAGCAAGTGTCACATTTTCTCCTTAAATGGGAAGGATTTCAAAACAAAGGTGAAATGGCTTAAATAGAAGTATTCATAAAAAGGAACTTTACAGAATTGTCAACAATATTAAGACAACATTGACTAACCAGTTTCATTATGGCGTCTTCCCCCACTCTTCATTGTAGAGTTATAATATGCTTGTTTAATTAATTATATATTGTGAACATCTTCCATGTCACTACATAGTCTTCTAAAACATCATTAAAACAAATTCCTTAACATTTCGTTATTTGGATATATCATAATTTATTTTGTTAATTCTCTATTATATTTTTACATGCTATTTTTTATTTTCAATAACTGCAAAGTTATAGAAAAATTGAAAGAACAATACAAAGAAAGTAAATTGCCTGCATGATGCCATCACCCCAGTACTTCAGTGTGTATTCCCTACACACGAAGACATTTGCCTCATGACCACACGGAGCCATTCAAATGAGGAAACTCACATTGATACAGCACCATGGTCCCATCCACAGATCTCATTTAGGTGTCACCAGTTTTCCCAGTAAGGCCCTATAGAGCAAAAGGATCCAATCCAAGATCACAAGTTGCTTTTATTTGTCCTGCCTCTTGAGTATTCTTCACTCTGGAACACTTCCTCAGTTTTTCCTTGATATTGTGACTTTGACACTTCTGAATATTAAAGGCTAATTATTTTGAGAACTGTTCCCCAACTTTAACTTATCGGCTGTAACCTTGTGATTAGATTCGGGTTTTGCATTTTTTGGTAGAAATACCACAAAAGTGATGCTCTGCACGTCTCACTGCATCCTGTCAAGTGGAACACGATCTCAATTTGTCTTATTCCAGTGTGTTTGATGACTTGATTAATCGGTGTCTGCCAGGTTTCTTCACTCTGAAGTCACCTTATTCCCTTTGTCATTAATAAATATTTTGGGGGGAGATTATTTGAGACTAAGTAGGTATCCTGTTCCTCATTAAACTTGCATCCACCAATTTTATCATCCATTGATGTTTCTTGGCTGCTTTAATTATTACTGTGATTGTTGCCAAGTGGTGATTCTGTGGTTGTCTTATTTCTTTTACATTTATTGATTGTCATTCTACTGAAAAGAAAAGCTTTTTATTCTTTGAATTTATCCAATTGCTTTTATATTATGGGTTCTAATCATGACTGTTATTATTTATTTTCATCCCTCAAATTTCCCCAGTTTTGGCCAGTAAGAGCTATTTCCACATGACTTTTTGTATCCATACAACCTCATAATTCTTTGAGAATTTTCTTAATTTCTGGTACAGCGAAGTGTTCCAGGCTTATCTTGTACTTTTCTTGTATCCAGCTCTACAATTAGCTATTTCTGGAGAGTAGTACTTTAGAAATCCAGATCTGGTTGCTACAATTGCATTATTAGCAGAATGTCACTCTCCCAGCCCACTCTGAGAACAGAGCTAGGGAAAATATGTATGTCTATACATATGTACACTTACCTATATTGCTGTCTGTATTTCTTTCTAGTTCTATCTAAATTTCTATCTATCTATCTATCTATTTATCTATCTATCTATCATCTAACCATGGGTTTGCACCCATACCTCCAATCCTACTCCAGTTCCACAAGGCTTTTTTTTTTTTTTTTTTTTTTTTTTTGCGGTACGCAGGCCTCTCACCGCTGTGGCCTCCCCCGTTGCGGAGCACAGGCTCCGGACGCGCAGGCTCAGTGGTCATGGCTCACGGGCCCAGCCGCTCTGCGGCATGTGGGATCTTCCCCGACCAGGGCACGAACCCGTGTCCCCTGCATCGGCAGGCGGACTCTCAACCACTGTGCCACCAGGGAAGCCCCACAAGGCTTATTTTAATTTCTTCACTTTTCATAGTTGTAAGTCTCTTTCCCCACAGTGAGGAACATGGATTCCATTATCTTCAATACATTCACTTATTTGTTGATCAGTCAAATGTAATCAATCTCCAATTGCAGCCAGGCAGGAACCCCACTGCATGTCTACTTTCACTCCCTCCCCTACCGCAGATGCCCACATAGCCTGACTTGGCTCTGAAACTGTGCCCTGGCCGGCACCTCCACGCCTCTGGGGTGGAAGCCCTCCTCGCCCTGCCAGGCTTCAACGCCTGGCACCGAGCTGCCACCCCCGCCATTGTCCCCACAGATGTCCTCTGTTCCCTGATTTGACTCCACCCTGTGCTAAGGTGCACCAGTGCCCTGCACACACTCACACTAATGCCTGCCTTGCTTCATCCCACCTGATGGTTTTGGACTAAATTTAAGGCAGGTAGGGAGGCAGGTAGAAAGGAGGGTAGGCAGGCTAATGCTTTATTTTTAAAATATTTAGGTTGTTTCCAATTTGGGGCTATTATAAACATCTTTCTTATTACAGATCATATATTTTTAAAAACATAAATCTGCTGTATAGTTGTTTCCTTTCTTACCTCCTGAGGCCATGAATAAAGTTGGTATTCTCAGCTTCTTTCTCTGCAAACTTCTATTTATCTATCAAAACCTTAGAAAGATACTAGACTTATATTGTTTGGATGGAGGTAAGATGGAGTGAATAGCATATCCCTTAGTAAGATTTTAGTAAATAATTCTATCAGACTCTTCTATGAAACAATTTACCCTTAATTATTTTGCCTCTGCAGACTCAACAATCCAAAATGTTAACTTTTTTCTATTTCCATAATATAATACCCAAACTCAATTCAGTCAGTTCAATTTTGTTTAGTGTCAAAATAAATCAAGCTGATTATTTGATATCAAATTCACCAATATTATTTAGCATTATTTAAATGAACGCCTGGGAAGTTCATCCTTACTTAAATGCCATAGAACTGTAGAGGAAGTGGTCATATATTATTTCTAGTTTTCACTCTCTTTGTTGTTCCTCTTTTTATTTGGTAGGGAGAATTCACCTCAGGGAAACATACTCTAGAAACTCCCAGGAAAAAAACACTGACATCAACAAGTCATTTCCTAGTTTTTATTCATTTTTTCTTACTAATATAAGATATATTATGACATTATATTAGAACATAACATCTTACCAGGAATTTAATTTCTTTGGAAATTTATGAACTTAGAATATTTTTCATCTGAGGGTCCTGGTTTTATGCAAATTTCTATTCACACAGTTCCCCACCATTCCTTACATTTTGTAGGTGCCAGCTAAGTGTGTAATGTTGTTACTCTGGAATTAATGATGAGTGAGTTAAAAGGAATGACTCATTCTCACTTCAAATTCCTTTTGGATGAATCCCGTGTAAATAAGTCTGCACTCATGAAAATCTGTTCCATGGACTATAGGTCTCAAGAGGCTGTCTGCAAAAAAATAAAAGGGGGTTTAAAGGAGAATTACATGATAAAATAAATGTTGAAAATGCTATTTCTAATGTTCCTTCTTTACAATTCATGAAGCACATTAGCATAAAACAGACTCCGGGAAGTACAGAAATCCTTCTTTGAAGGATTAAAATCCTTCTTAATCCAGAGTTTCCCAGATACTGACCCCATGTCAGTGTGTGTGGACATATTTATGTGCATAACACCCCACCAACAATGCAAGCAGCTGGGATGCACACACACACTTTGCCCAATGCCGACTTTTATGAGTGGTATGATGTGGCTGATTGTTTGCAAACTGCGAACTCGTGTTAGAGGAGAATCTGTCCATTGTTGCCTGTTGCTACAGAATCACACCAGATGATCTGGTCTGAAAACAGTCTCTCACAACACAGGGAGGATTTTCAAGTGCCTAGATGAAAACTGAGAGGCAATTACTTAAAGATCAAAGGCAAACTTGTGTTTCATTTTAAAATAGGACAGAAATAGAAAAACAAAAATAAAGTTGTGATAGCTCTGGGCTTCACTTGTTTCATTCTTTTTTCAGCTGGGCACCAAAGAAGGTTACCTCACCAAACAGGGGGGGCTCGTCAAGGTAAGGAAGCACGTTGCTGCCAGCCACAAAGAAAGAGAGCACATCATGGGGGCTCAACTCTCATTTTGACTTTTTAAAAAGCAGAACCTACTTATTTTGACCCAGTTATAATATTTACCTCTTTCCAGAGTTCATCTTTATGGCCAATATTAGTCAAAACTCTGGAAAATGACTTGACTATTCTTTGGCAAAGCCAAATGTATGAGAATAGCCTACATTTAATACCCAAGAAAACATATAATCCTTTTGATGCAATGATTGAGGATGAACGTAGCAAGTTAACTCTAGCACATATCTTGGCCTTTTAAGATTTTTTAACAAAAAAGAAGTCAAAATTGGATGAAATGTTTACCTAACAGTAGGCCCCAAAAGACCCATCACCGACATGAATGTAACTATATTATAAAATCCCAAAGAAAACAAAATTTAGGACTTTACTAGTTGGAGGGGTATCCTCTGTTTATGTGATTATACCTTTAAAGTTACTCTATTCCATTTTCACGTGCCAAGAAGACCTTCATGGAATGTGTCTGTTCTTTCCCATTTTAAGAGTCAGGACACTTAACCTCTCTCAAGGATACTGGCCTGCTTGAATTTAACCTAAGTATTTAGTTATTTGTGTCCCTACTGGACTGGATGCTCCCTAAGGAGAGGAAGTATTCATGTTCATAGCATTATGTTTAAATCCAGTTACTTCTTTTAACCGGGAACATTGCCACCCAACATCATTAGTGTTCTGTTAGTACATAAGAAAGAGGCAGTGGGTAACAGCTGTTTTTCCACCAATGTCATGGAGTTCTTAGGCAAGGTTTAGAATAGCATGTGGTTGAGCTTCCTAAACCTCAATCTGCTTATTTGTAAAACAAGAATAATAATATTGGGTTGGCCAAAAAGTTCGTTCGGGCTTTTCCATAGGAGAGTAGAAAACCCCGAACGAACTTTTTGGCCAGCCCAATATTTGGCAATGTTTGGGGATTGGCTATAATGTATATAAACCTCTAAGGATAGTATGTAGCCCTCAGTAGGTGCTGAACAATGATATCTATTTTTATTATGGAGTTTTATTAAGATTATTAAGTCTTAATAAGATGGAAATTTCAGCAGTTTGTTATAAATCACCTTGAATGTTTATGATAGGTTATTTCTTTTTACTTGTTTAAAAATGTTGATATCTTTGCCTTCGTTGTGAGCTTAATGCATGGAATCATTTTAATTTTTGAAACTTTAAAATTTTAAGTTTTATTTTGAAAGTTTTTCCCTCAGAAACAACACCGCAAGAATATTTTATTGTATCTAATCTTTTAGGTATTTTTACAACAAAAGGAAATTATCTAGTTCAAATATCGTGGGCCTGTATTCAAAACCTACATGTTTTAATTTTTCTTTTTTCTCAGACCTGGAAAACGAGGTGGTTCACTTTGCACAGAAATGAACTGAAATACTTCAAAGACCAGATGGTAAGAAACATGGTCATATATTTTCCCTTTAAAAATGAACCCTGTACCACTATGGAGAACACTATAGAGGTTCCTTAAAAAACTACAGATAGAACTACCATACAACCCAGCAATCCCACTGCTGGGCATATACCCTGAGAAAACCATAATTCAAAAAGAGTCATGTACCACAATGTTCATTGCAGCTCTATTTACAATAGCCAAGACATGGAAGCAACCTAAGTGTCCATCGACAGATGAATGGATAAAGAAGATGTGGCACGTGTATACAATGGAATATTACTCAGCCATAGAAAGAAATGAAATTCAGTTATTTGTAGTGAGGTGGATGGACCTAGAGTCTGTCATACAGAGTGAAGTAAGTCAGAGAAAAACAAATACCGTATGCTAACACATGTATATGGAATGTAAAAAGAAAAAAGTGGTTCTGAAGAACCTAGGGGCAGGACAGGAATAAAGAGGCAGATGTAGAGAATGGACTTGAGGACACGGGGAGGGGGAAGGGTAAGCTGGGACGAAGTGAGAGAGTGGCATGGACTTATATATACACTACCAAACGTAAAATAGATAGCTAGTGGGAAGCAGCCGCATAGCACAGGGAGATCAGCTCGGTGCTTTGTGTCCACCTAGAGGGCTGTGATAGGGAGGGTGGGAGGGAGACGCAAGAGCAAGGAGAAATGGGGATAAATGTATATGTATAGCTGATTCACTTTGTTATACAGCAGAAAATAACACAACACTGTAAAGCAATTATACTCCAAAAAAGATGTTAAAAAAAAAAAAAGAGCCCTGTAGATGAAATGTCTGCCTTCAAAATCCCTGAAATTTTATGAGCACCTGAAACATCCTATAAACGATTGGAGATGTGAATTTTTGATTCCTGATATGAGCAGTGTTCTTTTGCAAACACGAGATGTGTATCCCAGACACGGCTCTCTCAGGCTGGCTAACCTCTAGCTCACTGAGGACATCATTCCCTCCGTCTAAAGCAATGGAATTGTTCTCTTGCCACAGTATTAACTGTCTCTTGCAGCAGTGTCCCCCTTTATTAAAAATATGTCCATTTCTCATGCCGATTTCATTAAACAAATTAAAAATTATTTCATCTCTTCTCATCTCTCCTACACAAAATTTCTGAGTAAGTGGATGTTTAAAAACATGGGAGACAAATATGACTCCCTTCCACGTGTTAAAAATCCATCTCCACCAAATTTAAATTGACAAAGAAAATCTCTTCCTCATGTCCAGTTTCATGAAAAGCCAATCCCCAGATGAGTATGTGACTTCCCTTAGGAAGGTTTTCTATAATCAGTCCCCATAGCGGAAGGAAAGTTGACAGTCGCTCATAGTGGAGACTTGTTAGGGGAACAAGTGATGTACAGATTTGTATGTGTGTTCTTATGATGACACAGTTTGCCCTTTTATTTTATTTTTTTAAGTCACCAGAACCAATTCGGAGCCTAGATTTAACAGAATGTTCGGCTGTACAATTTGATTATTCACAGGAAAGAGTGAACTGTTTTTGGTAAGTTGTTTTATAAAGTAAATGTTTTTAAAAGTCTTCTTGCCAGACAGTTTAGCAGAAGAATAAAAAATTGTATGTCTTAATGTGTACAAATGTTCTGATCTGAGGCAAGTGGGTTTAACCGTCACACAGGGCATGTATGTCAGAAGTGCTTTCAGCCGAGTGTGACATAATACCTCATTTAAAGTGACTTAAACAAGTAGGAAAATCTCCTGGGTATAATTGTTTAGGTTGTACACTGCACAAGTATGATGCACTGCACAAGTAGGATGCCATTCACATCTTAGACAGCTTTTATTCCTTTGAGGTGTTTTATTCAATTTCAATTACAACCTTGTTGACTCCAACAATGAGTGATTTGTATAATGATGACAATTCTGGCAGATGGCACAAAAGTGTTTTGTTCTGTCACAATCAGTATATCATGACAATTTTATAACTGGGAGAAGTAAAGTATCTTGAGAAAAGAGTGTCTTATTTCTCACCCTGAACTAGTTGAAGGTACGTTGCAGACATCATGGCACTTTATCCCTGAATACTTAAATTTGCATCTCCTAAGAAAAAAAAATCACCTATAGAACTACAATACCATTGTCACACCTAAGAAAATTAACATTAACTACTATTAATTAATGATTGTATAGTATCAACCAATAATGGAAATCTTTTTAAAATTCACATAAAGGTACCATATGAATTAACAAGGGGTTATATTTCTCATATAACAAGCAATTGGGAGATAGGCAGCTACCTTGACAAGGTCAGGTCCAATGTCTCTATAATTCTCTTGGTCTTTTCCTCATGCTTACTACTTCAGGGTCCAAGAGAGCTACTCTAACTGTAGGCCTCACATTTTCATGTAAGCCATAAAGAAAGATGCTGGGATGGTATTAGCCAGGTCTGCCCTTTGTATCAGGAAAGCAGACATTTTCCCAGAAACTCTTCTATCGGATTGTTCCTCATCTCATTGGCCAAGACTGAGTCCCATGGCCATCACTAGCAGCAGAGGAAGCTAGAAAACAGTACAGTACGATCATAAGTGGCTCCGACTAATTATAATTTATCACCTGGGGTTCTGTTAGCGAGAAGAGAGGAAAAATTATCTGTATTAACAGGCAATTAATCATTTCTCTCCCAGGGAGGACCAAACAATGACAATTCCAGCAACTGGTTCTGTACACAATATCACACCTTCCCCCCAGCTCCCCCTCTCTCTACTCACTGCCCAACCGGACCTCACGTCAGGGTTTACCTTTTATACACAGGGACTTCCCTCTTGTCTATTCAACATTAATTACTGGTATAACCAGATGTGCTGCTTTGGTTTTAGGATATAGAAACCCTTCTGATTTCACTTTAAGGCTTTTTTTTTAAATTAATTTTTTATTTTTGTCTGCATTGGGTCTTTGTTGCTGCGCACGGGCTGTTCTCTAGTTGCGTCGAGCGGAGGCTGCTGTTCGTTGCGGTGCGCGGGCTTCTCACTGCGGTGGCTTCTCTTGCGCGGCACAGGCTCTAGGTGCTCGGGCTTCAGTAGCTGTGGCACGTAGGCTCAGTAGTTGTGGCTCGCGGGCTCAGTAGTTATGGCTCACGGGCTCTAGAGCGCAGGTTCAGTAGTTGTGATGCATGGGCTTAGTTGCTCTGCGGCATGTGGGATCTTCCCCCATCAAGGATCAAACCGGTGTCCCCTGCATTGGCAGGCGGATTCTTAACCACTGCGCCACCAGGGAAGTCCAAGGCTTTATTTTTTTCATTTTTCACAAAAAGGACAAAAAGATTTTTAGTGTTTGGCATCTCAACTGTAAGGACAGGAGGTGTGGGCGAGATATAAGTCTGACGATTTTGACTCTATAGCCAAAGAGACAGAGAAGGAGTTAACTCTATTCCTAGAACAGTCTTTCATGCCAGTAGGCAAGTTTGTCTTCCCTTCAGCAAAGATTAACTCATGGCCAGAAGTGGGCAAAATAAATAGTTGAAGAGATTTATTGTCTCTTTTTCCTGCCCTGAAAAGTTAAAACTGTCTTCATCCACAGAGGGCAGTGTCATCCTCGCTGAAGTCAGCTAACACAAATGAGCTCCTTCAATAAACTCTCTTATCTGTCTTGCTTGTTCTTTGAATCATAGCACAAGTTCTGAGTCATTTAACAGATCAGCTGAATAAACACACGTGTATTCAGTCTAAGACATGAACAATAAAGTGATCTGGGGGTGACCTGGACCTTTTTTTTTCTTTGGGTTCTCATTAGAAAATACAAATCTGGTCTGTAATATGAATCTGCAGCCTCAACATTTCTGCGTTTGCTGGCAGGACTAGCTTCATATATACCAGCTCCTTAAGTTCTCACCCAGGTTCTTTGTCAATTCTTTTTCCCCTTGGAATACTCTAATTAGTGCTCAACTAATAGATGTTCAACCAACTATCTGGAGTGTCTTACATTCTTTCTTTTGTCTTATCAGCTTAGTATTTCCATTCAGGACATTTTATCTCTGTGCAAAGACAGGAGTAGAAGCTGACGAGTGGATCAAGATATTACGCTGGAAGTTGGTGAGCTATTCATGCCTCTGGATACCTAGTACTCAGAAATCACATGTTGATGATTTCAAACATATTTCTATTGAAAGAGTCAGACAACCCCCGAGAACGGGCGGGAGGTCTACTTGCAGACTTATGGAAGAGTCTGTTCATTCTTCTGGGATGTGGAAGGGATGGAGAAAGGAGTAAAAGAAAAAGAACGAAAATGCACTGGGGTCTCAGCCCCAGAGCCTAGCCTCGCACCCTGGTGTCTATCAGGCTTCCTTTAAGTGTGTGGGCTGGTCCAAGTTTGCCTGGAGGAGGACATGTGGGACCAGAGGCCAGACAGAGGAAAGCAGACATATTTCTATAGTAGAAAATCCTTTTATTTTGTCAGAGAAGGAGGCTTGCCAGAGAGACTTAGCTTAATGTCCAGTGTAAGCGTTACTTTGTGCCAGTCAAGGACCAAAGGTGTGTTAATTTATCTGCTTTCTATGTACCTCCCAGGAGGAAGACAAAGGGCTTATAAGAATTTACTAGTCTCATGCATTTTTTGTGTGTTTGCAAGTTAGTGAGTTGTTAGCCAAGAACTTGTCCTTAAAGCTTTCTCAAATTTCCTATAAATACCATCTTGAAACCCTTCATGTTTTCAACTACAGGCAATTATTCCTAATTTTTTAAATGAAATTAGCTGATATTTACAATCTTATTGAATATTCCTTTCCAAATACTGGGATTTTTGCTTTTGGTTATCTTTTCAGTTTGAGATCCAAAGCAATATACTACTCATTCTGAGACAGTTCCAATGTATTTGATATTCAATGGGGAAATACTCTGCCATATGAAGCTTTTGCTCAAATACGAATCATTTTTTATTTCTTCTGTTTTGTGACTATGCAAGTGACACAATCATTATAGAAAATTTAAAGTAAAAATATATCAAATGCACATCCTTTCAGACTTCTCCCTCTGCAAATAAATATTAGAAACAAAATTTCATCATTCTGCAGTGTTCTTTACTTGCTAACTCCACTTAACAATATATCATGAACATCTTTCCAAATCAATAAATTTAGATCTGTATCTTCATTTTGATTCGTTGAATAGTATTGCATTTTATGGATTACTAAAAGTATTAGGCCAGTTCCCAATTTGTGCATGTTTTAGCAACCACTTTACAGTATAGTCTCCTGAGAAAAATACAGAAAACCAGAATAAAACTTGGGGAGGAGGGGACATGATAATTAATTTGCAGTTGCACGGTTTTCTTACTAGTCAGCATTTCTTATTTAATATTTGTTAAAAGCCAAAGTCTGTTATCTTAAAGTTGCTCAATAATAAATACACGTGGGTGTGCTTTCTTGCAGTCTCAAATAAGAAAACAGCTTGATCAAGGGGAAGGCACAATCCGATCTCGCTCATTCATCTTTAAATAGACAGACCTTCCTCGATGAGGGATGCCCTGACCCAGGAGCAGGGTGGAATGTTCCTGATGTTGTGATCCACAGCAGGTTTCAGATGAAAGCTAAGGATTTTTCTGTAGAAACAAATCAAAAGCAGATGCAGATTTGGACCTCTCAGAAGACACCACATTTGCTGACTCACAGAATACTGCTGCCCTTCAAGATCCTACCATGTCCCTGAGAATACCGAAGGCTCCTCGTTCTGATGGAGACGGATGAACCACTGCGACCAGGTGTGCTCGATCTTAGAACACGCGATGGGAGATGGTTTTTGTTTTCCCTCATTGTTGTCCCCAAGCTGGTTGACATTAGTTACCCAAAGTCCCACTCTGCACCAGGGTCAACTCATCTGACTTCCAAGTTGTGCTATTATCCAGGAAGGAAACAGCTATATATGTAGCCCGAGGTTTAGACTGCTTTTCAGAAAGTGTATTGGGATAGCAAATGTCCAAGACTGGGGCAGAGGAGCAGTGTTGTTTTTACTTTTTTTCCCCTTTATACAAAAAACAAAACAATTTCCAAAACTAAAATGGAAAATGTTTGTAGTATTTATTTTCTCTTTGTAAAAGGCTCAGATATCTACCGGGTCCTTTCTTCCCCTCTAATGATAAACCTGTGAGAACTAAATCTCCTATGGGCTATTGGGTAAGATGATAAGGATAATGGAAGGTACAATCTTAAAAAAGCATCTCTTTTAGTCATTTTGGGGGAAATGCTTTAAAGAGTGAGAAAACATAAATTGAGGAAGAGTGATAAAGTAGTAACTTGTAGTTTAATAATAATTATCACGATAATTATTATAACAGTAATAGAGCACTTGTAAGCACTAAGTTATCTTCATCCAACACTTCTCAAACAGACTGAAAGAAACTTTCCAAGTAGAGTGTGTTATAACAATCCCTTCCCCAGAGTGAGAGGGAGGTATTTGCCCAAGAGAAGAAAGATGTACCTTGCACTGCATGGAGCACCCTACACCTTATTCAAGAGGAACTTCTTTTGTCTATTGAGGGAGTAACACTAAATCCACATGCAAAGGGTAATGCTGTGTTTGTTACACAGCATTTTCAAGCCAGAACAAGGGGATTGAAATAGGGGGATGAGATACTGGCATCCAGAGCTCCTAAATAGATTTTAACCCCTTCTATTATCTTTATTAATACTGCTTTTTTAGACTGAAGTTTGAAGGGAGACAAAAGTGGAGGAAGAGCCCAAACAAAAAGGTTGTGGAGCAAAGCTATGATATGATGCTGCTCTTGCAGTCCAAAGGGCTACTTTGTTGAATACGTTTCTTCTGTTATTTAAACATCTAGGACTCAGAAATTACATTAAATTTTTGTATGTTTCAACAAGGTTTTTAATGTATTTTGTAATGTTTGTATCATACAGAATATAGCAAATGTCAAGTTAAAATGTATTGTGTTGGGCTTCCCTGGTGGCACAGTGGTTGAGAGTCCGCCTGCCGATGCAGGGGACACGGGTTCGTGCCCCAGTCCGGGAAGATCCCACATGCTGTGGAGTGGCTGGGCCCGTGAGCCATGGCCGCTGGGCCTGCGCATCCGGAGCCTGTGCTCTGCAGCGGGAGAGGCCACAAAAGAGAGAGCCCCCCGAACAAAAAAAAAAAAAAAAAAAAAAAAAAGTATTGTATCAAGTTTGCAAAGTAAGGAGTTAGACATAAATCTTCACTGAGACGTACAGTTTTGTTTTGTTTTCTTAGATCCAAGTGTGTTGTGTAGGTAACATTGTTTTCATTTTTTGTAAAATATGTCATGTTTATTTACATTCTTTGGTTATGTTTATTAAAAACAGCATGATTTTGCTGTGCCTGTAATATTTTGCTACTAAAGTGTTTTTAATAACTGTAATTTAAAAGAAATATAACCAATTAATATCATAAATAGCAATGAAGAGTCCACTTTGGTTAGACTATGAGCTACAAAGGATTGAAAGATTCAGAGTTGAAGAAATAGTCCCCGTCCTCAAGGAGTTTTCAGTTGAATATGGAAAAGATAAGAAATACATCCATGACGACGTACAGAAGTAAATACGATAAATACTTCAAGTGAGGCACACAAAGCTATATGATGGAGTGGGCTTCAGCTGGGATAAAGCCATTGTTTGGAGGGTTTTGATATGAAAAGGGCGATCTAACATACACCATGCAATTAGTACTACCCCAGATGCTTTACCTGCTCTCTTTACCTGTCTCAGCCCTGAAAAGTGATCATGATCTCACCCCGAGGGATCTCAGGGAAGGGCCCTAGGATGAGGGAGGATGATTCGTGCCAAATCGGAGTGGGGCTGTTTGGGAGAATAGCTATCTGTGTCAAGCTCTGTCGCTAACAGTATGTGCTCATCATAAAGTACCTCAAGACACAGCCGAAGGATTAGCAGTTATTCTCAGAATCCCCCCAACCCCGGGAAAATCTTGCCCCGGAGAAGCACTGCTGCCTCTGGACCAGGAGAGCGCCCCACTCAACGGTAAGATGGCTGTTACTGCCTCGGAGGGAAACCCGTCCCTATTCCTGGGCCACTGGACAGGAGGACACTCAGCAGGCCACAGGCCTCTCTCTCCAGCCCAGGGCACTCGGGAGACTGGGCTCTTTGGTCCTTCCCTCTCACTCACGCACGGGGTGCAGGTCAGGGAGTTACACTGAGTCCCTGTTTCAGGCAGAGAGCAAGAGAATTATTACAGGATGAATATAAACTCTACTTCCCTCCTCTACTGCTACTTCAGGTCAACTGCAGCAAACTTGTAGTTTTGCCAAAGTCTTCCCAGCCACGTTGAGCCTACACTCTGCTCACCACGATTCAGGCTGTCTGGGCATGACGTCGAGCAGAGCTTCTTAAATTATCTGTGGAAAAGGGCCAGATTTATTTTCTTTTAAAATTTATTTTCTATCACAGACTGGGAATTTGTAAAATCCAATTAAGTTATTAGAACACTGAAGTAAAAATACAACTATCACAATCCCAGTTTTTAAATCAAATTCAATAGACATAGTATGTCTGCTGTTTTTTTAAACCCTTAACCCTCAACTTCTGTAACTTATTTTGTACTAACAAACAGAACAGCCCAGTCTGTGGACATTTCAAGTAGGTCTGGCTAGTGGACAGCCACGTAAAATAAAGCAAGAGCCTTCTTGAGAAAGAATTCATCTTGATGCTGCTATGAAGCTGTTTCATAGATGTGCTTAATAACATCTACAATCCCCTGAATTTATATAAAAGAGGTTATGCTCCATAACATGGGTGGGGCTCATTCAAGCAGTTGAAAGGCCTCAAGAGCAAAACTGGGGTTTCCATGGGGAAGAAATTCTCCCTGTAGACTGCAGCCTCAGCTCCTGCCCAAGATTTTCCAGGCTTCTGGCCTGCCCTGCAGATTTTGGGGCTTGCCAATTTCCAAAATCAGGTAACCAGTCCCTTGAATTAAGTCTAATTCATGTTTATATCCTACTGGTTGTTTTTTGGTGAACCCCAAGTGATACAACTTTCTTTCCCAAATACCTCATCACCATTATAAATTTTGTTGTTTGCTGAAATATTTTATTTAGTTAATTTTAATTTTATCACTTTTGGATAGTTAACAATTCAATAAGTAAAGTTTACAGTGAAAAGGGTCACTCCTGGGAACCCTGTCCCCCAATTACCTAGTTCCACTCCACGGAGGCTACCCATGTTACCACATTCTGTGCATCTTCAGAGGTACCTATCATATACGAGCAAATATGAATATACATCTATATTTTTTCTTCCTATACATAAGTTGTAACATAGCACACAGTTTCACACCATGCTTTTTCTTCTGAACGTTATGTTTTGGAGATCATTCCATCTCAGTACCCAAAGTCATCTTCGTTCTTTTTTCCATTGGGCAAATGTAGAAATTTCTTTAACCAACCCTCTATGATTAGGGTGAACATATAATCTATCTAAAGTGGGACCCTTCAGAGTTGAAAGGAGCACTAATAATTACACCGAGAACAGCAGGTATAAAATGGCATTGTTACAAAAAAAAAAAAAAAACAAAAGTTAATTCATCAAAGATGGATACTTGTTTCCAATCCTTTAATGTTACTAAATTGCAATGACTGTAAGTATATACTTTTCACACATCCATATGCATTGGTAACATGAATATCTAGAAGTGGAATTGTGGGCTTTTGTGTCAATTTGACTCAACATGGGGTGCCCAAATTAAATATTTTGTCTCTGTGGGTTCTCTTTCTCTGGAGAATCCTAATACATTGGGTAAAAGGTTATGTGCACTTGAGTTTGGTAGAGATTGCCAAGTTGTCCTATTTAGAAGGATATAACAATTCACACTTCCATCAGTAGGGCATAAAGAATGTCTGTGCTAATTTTTTTTTTTTTTTGCAGTACGCGGGCCTCTCACTGTTGTGGCCTCTCGCGTTGTGGAGCACAGGCTCCAGACGCGCAGGCTCAGCAGCCATGGCTCACGGGCCCAGCCACTCCGCGGCATGTGGGATCTTCCCGGACCAGGGCGCGAACCCGTGTCCCCTGCATCGGCAGGCGGACTCTCAACCACTGCGCCACCAGGGAAGCCCTGTGCTGATTTTTTAATAAATCTTTCCCAACTGACTTATGATGTCATCGTCACAATGTTTTAACTCCTCGTATGTATGTACTAAAGTCTGTTTCTGGGTTGTTCTGTTCTACTGATCTGTCTAGTTGTGCACCTGATGCAGTTTTACACTATCCTTTAAAAATAATCTAGTTTTATATTACCTTTTCAAAAATTCCTTAGAAAGGTTCAACTTATTTTTCTGGATGAACTAAAGAATAATTTAACTATTATACCCCTTAAAATAGAAATTTTAATAGTAGCAGTGTTCACCATGCAAAGGTTAAACATCTCCATTTATTAGTTCTCTTTCCTGTGGTGGGTATGAATGTATGTAGGTATACATATAAAATTACCAGTAATTACAATTTTGGTCACCTCATTTATAAAAGACTTTCTTGCTTCATGCATCACTGCATTGGCAAAAACTTCCTGGACACTATTAAATAATAATCTGGATAATGGGAATTCTCGATTTTACTGGATGTGTCTAATGCTTCATTAGGTTATAACAATTAACTATTTATAGCATGCTGCAGGTAAAACATATCTCCTGCCTCTATTTCTTTGTAAAGGCTGTTGTTCTTGCCCAATTTAAATGCCCCACTCTGTGTTTTCTATAGCATCCTGTGCACAGCTTCATCACAGCATTTCCTATACCTGTTCCGTTTACTAAGCTGTACATTCTTTAAAGATAGGTACCACAATTTAGTCTCATATTTGTAGAGGATGGGAGAAGAGAGGGAAGGAGGGAGGAAGAAAGGAAGGCAAGAAGGAGGAGGCAGGCACAGTGCCCGGCTGATCTTACTGCACAACTTGAGAGACTGCATTTGTACACGTCATGTAAAATGCACTCCTGGAGCACAGAAATATGATGTACACTGTGCTCCTTAGAATTCTGCAATGTGGTAGCGCTAGTGAATAGCGCACAGCAGGTGCTCAATGCCAGGTACCAGTGACAAACTCTGATCGTCAAAGATCCTAGGAGGAAATTAACAACTTTGAATGATGGACTGCATTCCTGAAAATGAAAAGCACATGCTAGAACTATAATACCAATTTCAGAGATTGAATTAGGCTCATGGATGAGGTTTATTTTCCAACTCACAGTTTATGTTAGGTAAAACGGTCTCCAAACCAGACGTGAAACAGTCACTTATTCGTGTGGTTGAAAGAGTGAATTAAGTTAATTATAGTCTTTAAACGTTTGAAAACAGTCTGGGGGAAAAAAACCTACATAGTGCTCAAACTGTACTTCTAAAAATACTATTTTATTTATACTCATGTATGAAAAAAAAGGGCTATACTACCATGTTTACATACATACCAATATTGGAAACAATTCAATAATGAATCACATCTAAATTTTATAAAGAATACACAAACATTAAAAAACACTGATTGGTTACAGAAAGCAGAGTGGAAGAAAAAAACATTAGCTATCATTTTCATTTCCATTAAAGAGCAGCACCCTCTGAGAAGAATCAAATCAGTTAGTAATACTCACCTATACTGCAAAATAATATATACAAAGGAAAGTTAGTGATTGTACTGATTCTATTACTTTTACTAAGCCATTTTATCTTCCTCTCAATGCAAATAAAATAATATGAAGAAAAATATGTCCTCACTATTCACAATAAAAAGAGTCTGCTTCATTCTGCAGGCCTGGCATATTGTACAATAGGGAGCACTTCATGGCTCAAGTGGATCAAAGTATCATTTTGATTCTGAGCCACCGAATAGAATCTCATGCATATTTGGTGACTGGACTAACTCCATAGGAGCTGTGATAGATTGAACCATTTCTGTGGAATCCCCAGATCTCACAAATAAGAAAAGGCCCTACACAAGAAAAGATAAGAATCAATCTGTCCGTAAATTCTATCTATAGGCTCTTTCTCTAGTGTAAGGTGGAAAAAGGGGCCCTTTCTTGAGTACATGGATACAAGTGTTGTTGTGGTCTAAAGATTGCTGGATTGATATAATGAAGATAAGGTATACACAGAAACCACTGCCAGATTAAGAAACTTCCACAACTTGTCTCAATTCTTCAAATAATGGAGCAAGTTCCTTTTCTAGGCTGACAATTAGTCCTAAAACAAAGGGATTAAGAAAATTTGAACATTAGAAAAATGTTTATCAAAATGTATAATACTAAAAAAGTGAGACATAGTTCATTCTCCATTACTAAAACATACTTAAAACAAAATATTGTAATTCTAAATAATCAAAAACCCATATTCATTATGGTTTATTTTTATCATTAACATAAATAAATGAAAATATTTATATGTATTAGAAGATGTAAAATGAATTACATATGTGCTATAATTTTGTTAGTTTTGAAAGGAAAACTTTAATTTATACCTTATTATTTCAAAATCTGCACTGATTCAGGAATAATACACATGATTTTTACTAAAAAAAGGTATACTTTTTTCCTGAGCCAATTTTAATGAACTTTATCAAGATAGGTAGATAGCAAAGGAATAATCAAATATTTATTATATAAATTCAATAAAGCTAAGATATAAATGGGTATTTCAAATGAAAACAATAATTTTAAAGATGCTTGGTAGGAGTATAAAACATATACTGAAAGAAACAAACTAGTCTAGAAATTAGCTTCTCCTTAGTTTACCAGAGTAGAAGGCTATATATATCTTAAATACTGCTTGTTTTATGCTCAAATAAAGATCTTCCTCTGTCTCACAGAGCATTAAAAGCATCTGGGATTCTCAAGGAAATGTTCTAAGTATCAATACTAAAATACAGTTCTGCACATTATCATAATTTATAACAACTGATGATTTTATCACATGACTGATTTATCAGAACTGAGGTTTAATATACTTAAAATATTGACACCACTACCATCCTATACAATTTATAAAGTGTTTTCACATATGATATTTTATAGCTTCAAAACATTTAGAAATGGAAGAGACCCAATAGATCATCAGATCTAAACCCCTCATTTTAAAGATGAGGAATCTAAATACAGGCTTCAGTGACATAGCTGGAAACAAAGCGGGCTCAAAGAGCTTGGAAAGAGATAAAACAGAAAAGGAATGCATAACAGTTCTAACAGCGGTGAAAGCTGAAGGAGACAGACCTTAAAAAAATTCCACTTTAACCAAAAGAGGAAAAAAATTACAATTCAACTGAATACTGTCATTATTTTACATGAAAATAGACAGTGAAGGCTACTGGATACAATGAGATCTTACTATCCTCTTTAGAAAGTACAGCTTCCCAGTGTTCGTCCTCAAATTCTTCCACCCTAAAGAAGAATGAGTATATTCATCCTAGTCACACTCTTTAAATTCTCAATCACATTCATCTTGCCCACTATTGTTCAACATTTTATAGATTGGTCTATATGGAACTGAACTCATCCTTGATCGTTTTTACGTGTTCTGTTTGGTTATCTTCTCTACTCTTCTTTGTTTTCTTAAACTGTTGTAACGTGAGCAAGATATAGCATTCAAGAGGTGGAGATAACATTTAATTTTCCTTTCTATCTTAAACGATCACTTACCTATACACTGTCTCATTTGAACTAAAAAATAAGCGCACAAGATCGAGAAAGCAGACATTAGCTCCATTACACAGATATGAAAAACACAGTTCAGAGAAGTTACACTTCCAGAGATCAAGGAACAGATGGTAGACTGGACCATGAATTTAGGTTTTCTTACTCTAAATCTGCTATTCCTATCATATTAGACTGCTCAGATATGGTATTATAAAGAATTAAAAGCCGTATTAAAACACACCTGTATTAGCATTGCTGCTGGCTATGAAACTCACCACCAAAGGTAAACGATTGAATTGAACCACCTAAAAAGAGAACAAGATCTAAATAATATGTTACATAGTGAAAAGGTAGTGTAGTTCAGATGAAATATCTTAATCTTCCAAAAAACTTTAAATGGTCAATGTGTAAGATACTAGCCTAACATCATGGTATTACATCATGAAAACATGCAACAGTGAAAGTAAGTATTTCCATAAAACAGGCTTACTGATTATCTCTTAGAGACATTAATACCACTTAGCCTGGAAAGTTTTAAGGTGGGGCTGTGTCTTCTTCATCTTTTTTTATCTTCTAAAGCCCTGCAGAGTGTCAATTACATAATAGGGGCTCAATAAATATTTGATAAGCAAATAGGTCAAGGCAGTATTTCTCAGTCATTCAAGTGGTTATAACTTAATGATCTTCTGCCTCCTCTGAACCACTATAATTTAAATTAATTTAAATTTAAATTAACTTTGAATCAACTATCTTTTTAAAAAATTTAGCTTCAACCTAACCCTTACTGGCTAAATTAAAGGTCAGATGGGCTGGTTATCTCTTGCCTAAAAGACATTAAAATATATAACTTTTAAAATAAAAAATGTCACTTATGTAGCATCAGTAGTACATGATATACTCTGGGAAACATTGTTCTAAAGTAGAAGTGATTAATTTATTCTAAAGAAGAAAATCCAGCTGGAGGTCAAGAGATATGTAGCAACTAATTTCTTTCCCACAAATAATAACCTCACTTATTTTATATATTTCAAACCAAATGAAGGAATTAGTAGTGATAACAAATTTAAATAACTTATCATTTGACTTTCAAGGAAAATTCTGTACCTGTCACCACCACAATTAAAAAAGTGTGTCATTTGAGAAATCACAGTTGTTAAATAAGCTAAGGGCACCATCTACTGGAGGTAATAGTGACCTGATTTACCCTTTTTAGGATAACATATACTTTACTACTAAATCTTTTAATCTAATTTTCTATAGTAATTAATTCCTGAAATGTGAAAAAAATTACTACAGTTTAACATAACCAATTTGAAGGTTAAGATTTTATAATTCCATCCCCTTCGAAACTAAAATTTAGAATTATAAAACAAACTATTTTATACAGAAGACATAATAATAGTTGAAATCATCAGCAAACCATTTGATAATTATGAACTTACCTGGTAGGTGTTATAGTAACAGATGATACTTTTATTTTTTGAAAGTCCAAGTTTGCTCCCTTGGTCTGTTGCAAGGGCAAAAGTAGACAAGAAACCAGGTCTCAAAGCATGCTCTGGAGCATTATCATTGGCCACTGGAAATATAAATGATTTAAGTAAAAATTATGCAGGAAATATGGTAGGGAAAAGATCTAGAGCACTTTTTTTTTAACATAAACCTGTAAAAAATGGATCACAATGGTTATGCTTCACAATACTGAAAATCATATTACTAACTGGGTCTCATCAATTTAGGTGGGAAAAACCACTCAGCCAGAAGTTAAGTGATCATAACTAAGGGGAAGAAATGCTGGTTCTCACAATTTTTTAAAATTTTCAAATGAATACTAATTTTTTCCATTTTCTTAATATCTAACTTAAAACACAGATTATGATTATCAGTACAATTAATAAATTGAATGTTTTGGTTAACTGAGAGCAAAGCTAGAATAGTAAAAAAAAAGCTTCAAAAACCTTTGCTCTTATAAAACCCACAGAAGTATCTTTTGTAGATGATAATAATTCTACAACTGGCCATGTGTTTTAAGTTTCTTTCACTCATTAAAAGGTCTAAGTGGAGTTAGTTGTACCAGCGAGTGCTGAGCTTAAGGCTTTTAACACAGCGATCCTCAGAAAGAACATGAGAACTGGAAAATCTCTGAGATTACTTTCTTCAAAGCCCTCATTACAGAACTGAGAAAAGGTAAGTGACTTGCCCATGGCTACCTATGCTCTATGCTGGGTTAGAAAGCACACTGGATCACACATCAGGAGATGATGGGTTCTTTGCCTATCTTGTCACTGACTCATGTGCAACTTTGGACTGACAATGTATTCTTTGTGCTTGACCATTTTCATTTATAAAATGAAAGAACTAAATTAGCTAATTTCTAAACTTTCTTTCAATTCTAAAGTCTGAAATTATCTGACATATATGATAACCCCAGGTGGAAAATAAATTGTAAACAAAATATGCAGAACATTATTTACTCTTTCTGTGACATATATACTTTAAAAAAAAAGGTAAAACTCAGGCAAAAAGAATTTTTTTTCTTTTTCTTTCTTTTATTTTTTCCTTAGGTTAACCAGTTCTTCTTTAGGCAAAAATTATTGTTAGATTCTGGTAAACTAAAGTAATTGTGAAGTTAAAAGCTTTTCAAAATCTTACTTCCAGTAAGGAAGCAGAACAAGAAAGAGTAAACAAAACAATAAATTTATGTTAATTCAAATGTATGGATGTTTATCCTAAAACTACTAGCAATACTGATAAAAAACATATATTGGGGGAGTCTGTGTGTATAATATATCTAGCTGCATATATGCCCACTCTCATCACTTAGATTTACTAGTCGTTTACATAAAATGTCTTTAATGGGAAACTGGGTTTGTGATAAATCCAAGCTTAAACTCTGGATGATATCGTGATACATTTGATATATAATAAGTTACTTAAGATTCCAACCCAGCCTTCAACACACAAAAGCAAACATTTCCTCCCAAACTAAGACCATCTCCTGAATGTATTGAAATGGGTTATTTTATGCTTGCCTTCTATATTACTCAGATATAAATACATTTTTTTTCAAAAGCAAACAGGACACTGGCATGTAATTGCTCCATTTTACCTTTAATGACAGGCACTCCATCTCTATCTGACACAACAATAGCATGGAGCCCCTCAACACTAGAAAGAAAACAAGAAGTTAAAATATTATAAAACATTTTCTCAAAATATGTACCTTCAAAGTCATAATGGTAATTTTCATGTATTATTTCTGAAAAACCATGGGAACTCAATTATTGATATAAGGTCCTATAACATGTTTGCCAAAACTCTTCCACCATAACAAACAAAAACAGACACAGTTGCCTTCACACAACTTATAATCTAAAAGGAGAGCAGCTATCATTCAGATCACCTCATGCAAATATAAAACTACAACTTGGGAAGTGCCATTAAGAGATATGTGGGGATACGTGAGCCTATAAAAGGGGGGTTGATTCAGACAGGTGGGTCAGGGAAGGCTTCCTTGAGGAAATGGTATCTCAGCTGAGATGCTATGGTACTAAGAAAAGAGGGGCAGAAAGATCATTGTAAGCTGAGGGACCAGGACAGAAAGAATGGAGGTCATACAGCAATCCTTTCAGCCACGCCTACACAAAAAGTAAGCAGAATGGCTAAGTCTACAGCTGTGAAGTTAGAAAGACCTGGTTTCCAGTTCAGAGTCTGGTGCTTACTGTTTAAGCTACCTTGTGTCAGTTACAAAACCTCTATCTAAGTCTCAGTTAATCTGAAAATGGGGATAAGTGTACTTATTTGGCTACTGTGAAATTTTAAAAATAATGCATGTAAAGCAGAGGGTGGTTGGTACATAATTAACATTCAAAAATATTAACATCAATGTTGTCACCTGTGCACACTGAGAATGACATAATTTATCCATGCAGTTTAAATACTAAATTATTAGTGAGAATCCCTAGAGCACAAAAATGTTAAAAATTATAATGGGGAAATATCCTCAAACTTTCATCATTTACAAAGGACCTATAGCCCCTTAACTATAACACAAAGCCTACAGTCCTGTAACTACAGGCACACCTCATTTTACTGGGCTGCACTTTACTGAGCTTTGATAACCCTGCACCGAGCAGGTCTATGGGCACCATTTTCCCAACAGTATGTGCTCACTTTGTGCTTCTGTGTCACATTTTGATAATTCTCACAGTATTTCAAACTTTTTCATTATTACCATATTTGCTACGGTTATCTGTGATAAATGATCTTTGATGTTACTATTGTAATTATTTTGGGGTGCCACAAACCATGTCCATACAAGATGGTGAACTTATCTGATGAATGTTGTGTATTGTGACTGCTCCACTGACTGGCGGCTTCCCCACCTCTCTCCCTATTCCCTGTGACATAACAATATCGAAATTAGGCCAGTTAGTAACCCTACAATAGCCTCTAAGTGTTATAGTGAAAGGAAGAGTCACACATCTCTCATTTAAGTCAAAATCTAGAAATTTGATAATTAAAATTGCTTTGGACAGTTCCAGCTTGGATGGTCATCTTTATGGCCCTGCCCTACTGTGCAAAGCTGAGGCTACTGGTACTGCTGATCATCAGGTTGAGAACAGAATCGGCAGCTTGTCTTTACAGTTGCCAGTACTAGGAGGGAGACAGTAAAAATGAATCTAAGTATCATATTAACATAAAGTCAATGGTAACAAATAACACTTCAGTAGTGATTTCTTTCTGAGTAGAGAAGAATATAGATAAATCAAAACTAGAAGATAATACTAATTTCAACTGCTCTGTAATCAGAGTAAAGGCACAAGCCTAGGCAAACCACACAAACCAATTTAGGCAAAAATCCAAACAAGTGTTTTTCTTTTTCTTTCCCCACCTATGTAAATTGACATCTAAAACCTTTTTAACATCAAACAGATTTGGAGAATAAGAAATAAAAATTAAAAAAAAAAGGATCTCACTACATATTCTGCTATACTAATTCAAAGGTTATTCAATTCTTCTGGAATGTGAGAATGGATGTCTCAATATATTCCTCTCTTTCATGCCCTTAACTCTAAGGTATCATTTTACATTAAACTAAATGTGAATTTTAATTCAACTAAAGTGACAAAGTCCTTTGAATCAGTAAAATACCTAAAAGGAAGTCACTGTCCTCAACACAAGAGCCTAATTTACAAAATGGTGCATCAAATGGACTGTGGGCAGGTAGAAGAAAGCCTTGTGATTTTTCCAAGTATGAGCTGCTAAGTCTAGCATTTTCCGGTTATGTAGACTCAGCAATTAGGTCTTACAAGCAATGTGAAAAATAAAGGCAAATTCTTAGGTTTTTTCCCCTTGAAATTACTCCAACTACGTCAAAGTATAATCCAGTAAATCACTATGAAAGAACTCTAAAGTGGCAAGAAATCTGGGTTCTAGCCCTCTGGCATTCACTAGCTGTTTAACCTCAGACAAGTCATGTAACTTCTCTAAGGGCTCATGTTGTTTATCTGCAAACTCAAGGCACATCACTTGTGCTACATAACATTATGTTAGATATTTGAAAGTGCTGAATAATAGCATAATACACATATATTAGTCTAAGATAAACAGAAACAAAATACTACATAAAATTAACATATGTTAAGCAGAATTTATTTACTAACAAATTAGTAATTTTTTACCTTGGTAATTTTTTGTACAGGAATCGTTTTAGGTCCTGAAAGAGAATATAAAAAATCGTATTATAATAATAATGCCTTGTACTGGTTCTCTAGACACCGTCCTATCCACATCTCAGGTAACTTAAGTATTCATTCATAACCATTCTTGCTTGTGTTCTTTCTCTTTCTGATTTTGATGCTTTAACTAGCTGTGTGATTTCCAACAAGTTAACTAACCTTTTTCTCTAAGCCTCAGTTTCATTATTTGTTGAGTAGGGATAATTATAGAACCTACATCATAAGATTGTTATTGAACTTTATTGATACGATGCATGTAAAGCGATTAGCATATCCAGAAGTGGAAACACAAATACATATTAGCAGTAATATTAGATCATACTTTTCATACTATTGTACATCTTCTTGTTGCTAACTTTGTGTTCACTTGAGAATATATTATGAACATCTTTCCATATGTACAGACTTTCTAACATCACTTTAACAGTCTTGGGTAAGTTGACGAGCTTCTCTGAAACTCAGTTTCCTCGCATGGCTAAAGACAAACCACAATGTGTGTCAAGTGTTTAGCATGGAACACAATTACGACTAAAGAAACAGAAGACTACATTGTCTCATTACACTCTCTCATCTGGGGAGTTTCACTGACAATCCCGGCATCAATCATGAGCTCTACATAGGTAAATCAGACTGTTTTGGCCCTTTAATCCCTACTATTCTCCAAACCTGGACGTTCACTTTATTTCATGTTATCACCATCAGCTTATCTTTGCACACACTATCACAAAGCTCAACTCATCACTTTTCATCCGAAATCCAGATTTCCCCAATTTCTTCTTGTTTCCACTAATGGCACTACCAATCCCTGTTACTTACTCAGCTTTGAAACATAAAGTAATATTTAACCCAAAACTCACATGTATCACTTTAAAAATCACTTGTGAAGCCAAATGTTTTTAAACTGATGTTCTTCTCTCCTTTCCAAATGATGTTACGGTTTAGGTTCAGTTTACTGTTTATGACTTACACTGGCCTCCCAATTGGTATGACGGTCTACCATTTCTACCCCACACATTTCTACACAATGCCAATAATCATATTATTCTCCTTCTCTAAATCTATAGTTGCAGTGATTCTCAACCCTGGCTATGGAAAACACCTGGAGAGCATAAAAATAACTCTGATGCCTGGTTTGGAGGGGCTCCCCACATGATTCCCTGTGCAGCCAAGATCAAGAATCAATGTTTGAATGGCTCTCCACTGTTTACCAAATTATGTACAAATTCTGTAGACATCTGAGGCTCTCTACAATATGGTCTACAACTAATTTTACAGTCCTGCTTCCTACCACTCCCTCATACACTTCCTCAGCCGCAGCTGAAATGGACTATTCACAGCTCCTCCACATACATCTTTTCCTTTCCTATCTCTAACTTTGCTTATGCTATTTGTTCTACTAGTAATACCTTCTTGGCCTTTAAAAAAAAAAAATTGCTACTCATCATTTAGAGCTAATCTCAACCACCAAATACTCCAAACCAGCTTTCCTGATAAAGACAAACCGAGGCAATCCCTCTCTCCTTTGAATTTTTACACAATAATGTATGCACATGTATGATCACTTGCTTACTATACTTTTTTTTTTAACTTTAGAAACCCTTAAGGAAAGAAATCATACCTTAGTCATCTTTATTTCTCTCACAGCCCTTACTACAGCAATCTTTTCAAGGGAGATGCTGAAAAGAATTTAGTGATTTGATTATGCCTGGAGAATAAGGCCTCAAAAATATAATGGAAGACACCCAAAAATGGAGTGATAAAGGCATAAAAAGTTGCTAACTGTTGAAAAACATAATCTTGCAACCTAAACAGAAAAATCCGATTCATATTGATGTTGAATGACCATTTAGTGTGCTGGTTAAGAGCACGGGCTCTGGAGCCAGTCTGCCTGGGTTGCTATCTTGACTCCACAACTTCCTAGTTGTGTAACCTGAGGAAGTCACTTGATCTTTCTGTGCCTTAGCACCCTCATCTATAACACAGGGATAATAATAATAGTGCCTACCTCATAAAAGTTACTGTAAGAATTAAATGAGTGTATGTTCAAGGTTCCAAAGAATGTTTAGCATGTATGTCAGCAAAATAACAGTATGTAAACTATAAACAAACACAGACGTTAACAGTATTAATTACCCGCTGTTTCTAGGAGTGAAGTTCTCTAAGTTTAGAATTTTGCTTGTATTTGCGTGTATTGCTGTGCTAAAGACGTGCTGGTTATAAATCATCTGCAATTGCTACAATAAGCTCAGAGAGACGTAACACTTACTGGAAAAAGATTCAGAGCAACAAACCATCATTTAGAAATCTAAATGGTAGATATGCAGAGCTTCTCTCATGCCCGCAGAACTGGGGCGTGGGAAAAAAAAATCTTCTCAACCTCAGGCACCTTAGAGTCCTCCAAGCCCATTCCAGGCAGAAACTCGGGACCCCGCAAACTACTCAAATTAATCTCTCACTTCGGATCCTAGAGAAAATAATGAAGTGGAGGGAAGCGCTATAACGAAACAAATTTGTACTTGGGAAGCGCTACCTCTCCCCGCCCACTCTCTCCTTCCTCTTGTGTAAACTCACATCCGCCATGATGAACCCCTTCCTCTCGCAGGATCAGTCTCCACGCCTGAAAAAGAAACTCCTGATGACTCTCCTCTCACCACTTCCTCGCCCTCCCCACCTCCAACCCAATACGCGGGGTTAGCTTTCCTCAGGGTCAGACAAGGATCCGCGACTCCAGGGCTCGTGACAGGGAGGCTGAAGGCACTCGGAGTTTCCACATACCCAGACGGGTAACTGAGATGCCTGACCTCAGCCCACTTCACCCTCTCACACCCAAAACTCAGGCCTAAAGGGGAGACGAAAGGGGCGTTCTCTCTTCCGTCTCACCGCCCGCGCTACCTGCGGGCCCAAGCCTAACACCGGGCAAACTGGCCCCAGTTACCTGGGTTTCTGGGCTGCCCGGTTCCCTGAGCTGTCACTTCAGACGACAGCTTCTGACACAGGTTCTTCTAAAAGCCGCTGTCACGTGATTTGTAACCGCCTCCGTGCTCCAGGAAGCACTTCCCAGACCTCCGACCCCGGTGACGCCAGATTTCCGGGGAGGTGCTTCGGCGAAAGGGAGCGCGCATCCGCGCGACGCGCCCAGCCTGACCCCTGCCCCCCAACCCGGGGGCTGCTTCCTGCACCTGCACAGAGACCCGGACGTCGCGACCTCGGCTGTCGGATCGAGATTCCTAAGAGATCGCTGAGCCGTGAAGACCCCCCGGAAAACGCAAGCAAGAAGACGTTTTTGTTTGGAGAAGGTGGAAAAATCTCATTAGTTTTTTTTAGGACCCGTTATCTTAAAACCTCTTCTTGTAGATTGAGAAATTTGAAGGGGTGGTGTTACACGCTGAACAGCAAACACCAGATTGCCCGTGATTAGAAGTCAAAGGTCCATAGGTTTCTGACCCCAATTTACTAGTCTCTTTTGGCTTTCCCATGGGTGCTACCCACGTACTGTGACTCAAGGCCCTGCCTAGATTGAATCGAGGATCCATGAGCTTTCTGGAGATGAGTTATGTGTGTACCTGAAGCCTCTACATATGCAGACATTGAACAACTTTCTTTCATTGGCCCTTGACTTAGAAGGCTATACCTTTAAGGACTGCCTACATTACTTTTTGTTTGGTGCATTGCTTGTGTGCACATTTAAGGAAAACCTACAGTAGGTGGTAGGAAAATGAGGTCTATGGGAACTTGTTTTCGACTGATTGTCAACTCCAATCCCAAAAAGTAGAAGTGCAAAAGGAACCATAGTCCAAGACGTGGTGAAAAGATACTTATTTCCTAGTTATCCTTAGGAGGATGAAATGGTAAACTACAAAGCTCCCAGCTGTTACAAATGACCTCCTTGTCATTACAAGTGAACTTGACAGTTCCATAGCAACTGACGTCATTGAAGAGCACTTCCTTTTCCTTCCTTTCATTTCTTAGCTTCTAGGACACTGCACTTATTTTAGCTCCTCACCCACTCTAGCCTCCTCTTAAATGAAGGCATTTAAAGTTTGTCTTTGATTCCTCTGCTGTTTTTCCCTTTCCACAGTGTCCTGAGAATGTGAGTCCTAAATCTGCACTTTTCATCTGAGTTCTAGGTTCATATTTTCAGCTGCTTGTTGGATGTTGAATATTTCTACACGTGTCTGTCAGTTCTAAGTCAAAGGCTCTAAAAACGCCAGTAAACCTGTTTCCTGATCTATGTCCATGTTGGTTCCAAGATTCCATCACGTATCATCTTTGCTCTCTTTCCTTCCTCATGTTCTTTTCCTCCTTAACAATGATTTTTTACATCTAGATTTTTTCAGTTCTTCAAACCATTATTCCATTCAGCAAGACTGTATCAATAGCCACTCAACAATGGCCAGTTAACCCTTTCTAAAATAACGTACATTATTGCTGATCAAAAAATCTTTAGTGATATACCATTGCAGACAATAGTTGATGTAGTCTTTAATCTGGCACTAACGTGTCATTTTATTTTACTTCTAAATGCACTCTATTGTGAATCCTGTACTCCCAGCCGAATTGATTACCTCACCCTTCCATCCAAATGACTCTTATCTTCCCATGCTAGTTATGGAGGTTCCCGAATCTGAAATGCTCATTTCTCTCGTAGGAGAGGCAAAACTTCCTTTTACCTTCTTTGATTTTGTGGCTGGGTCTAACAATGAAATTAACAGACAGATTAACAGGAGGAAAATCATACAAATCCATTGAATATTTTTACATGTACATGGGAGTCTTCAGAAGGAAAATGAAGACCCAAAGCCGTTAGGCCCAAAGTTTATATACCTTTTTACACAAAGAACAAATTGTGGGGATGAGACAGACAAGGGGGCTTGGGCTAGGGGCAGTAGATTGTACAACAGTGACTATTAAACGTATGGGATAAACTAATGGAAGATAAGGGTTATTTTAGTAGGTTTGTTTGCACAGGTCCATTTCAGTGTCAGTTCCATCTCTGGTGATAAGAATGTTCTTCTCTTCCTGGTAGAGGGAGGGCACCTTTCTCATGGGAAGTTTTATGACAAGCCTTTAAGTAGAAAGTAGGAGGTCAGAGAGCCCTTCCTGCATTTGCTGTTTCCTAGTGCCTTCAGATCAAAATAATCAATATGCTAAAGTGGCATATTTCAGGGTGGCATGTTCTAAACCCCTTCATTTTCTGCCTTAGTTATTTAAATCTTGTTTCCTTATAACACCTTCTCATCCATCACATTCTCTTGAATGCTCCTATATACTACCAAGAATGGTTGATATTTATTTGTGCATAATTATGTGTCATAGATTTAGTTTGTTTACCCAGTGAGACCATAAGGTCTAGAAAGAAGGGTCACGGTTTAGATTTTTTCCAGTTTCCTACAATGCCTCTGTTTCTTGCATTCTGCAGGTACTCATTTCAACATTTGTAGAATGAAAGTGATTACAAGAAACCATTAGTCCTGGCCCTGACTAAAACTAAAACTCCGTATTTCCCCCGTACCTCCCCACCATTTGCCCCCAAGTTTGGAGGCAAATAAAAATATGAACTCTAGCAAGAACTTCTAATTTCTGGAAGCACTACTTTTCATTTTAACATAATTATCCATTTTAATGACATTATTATATGGTAGTTGATCTGGAAAATATTGCTGATTTTTTTCTTCCTTTTGAGTGGCAAGAAGGGAGAGCACAGCTTTCCAAAATCCCCAAATACCACGATGTCTACAAATTGAAAAATCTAGTAAGATTTTTAATTTCCAAGTGTGGTGGTTTCCAAATTATGGCATGTCAATAGGAGAGTTCCTTATGTACTCAGATTGATCTGTTTGCATTTACCCATCAATAACACTGCTGTTGGTATAGGACTAAGGGAAATATTACTGACCTAAAAGATTATCAGGACCGTGTGCCAGTTCTCCAAAGTGGGATTTAACAGATGATCTCTGAGGTTCAGAAAGAAACAGATAGTATACACATACATGCATATGCACACAAAATTTTTATCCCATTATACAAATTTGCTATTTTGTTCTACTATGTACACAGCATACTAGTACATTATATAGTCAACAAACATACACATGTTAAAGTTCTGAGTTTATTATATCAGAGCCTTTGTTTCTGCTTCTCTTTAGCTTAAATTTCTCTTAGCTGTTGTATACAGCAGAGCTCTCAATTTTTTTTGTCTTTTTTTTTAGATTCTGGTTTCCTATCAAAAAATCAACAATCAATCATCTGGATTTATGCTGGCTCTGCTGTCTGTGTGAAAATTCTATTGGTATTCAAACTCGTATGAAGAGGAGACTCTTGCTGATTCTCCAACATACAAAAATGAAAATTTTATCACTTACACTGGCCAAGTTGGAAAATGTCTTACAAATTTTGATTTGGGCTCTGGTTTGGGATTTGGCCCACTGAAAATACAATTATAAGGTCTATACAATAACTTTCTCTAGTCAATTATAAGGTCTATACAATAACTTTCTCTAGACTTAGGCGGTCACCTCAGGAATCACTAATTCCCTCGATCTCTGGCTTACATCTAATAGTCAGTGAAACCACTCACTTGTCAACATCTTAAATGCCCCTACCATCTTTCCTGCCTGACAGAACCTCAAATTTGGAAGAGTTAAATGAGTTGTATTCTACATGTCTATGCCAAGGCTGCTGGACTAAGTTGGAAAAAATACACAAAATTTAACAGATTGTAAATTCTGTCACCACTGTGGGACTCAAAGAAATCCTACTTTTCACTAGTCAGATGACTCAGTGAAAATGATTCCTTCAAATTGTCTTCATTCTTTTTGAAGTGTCTGCTTATCATCCTCTCCACCCCCTAATTTTCCATAAACTGCTTATCTTATTAAGAAAATACAAGCCATAACCCATATATTCCTTTCTGAAAGAATGCTGGTGGTGTCTCTTAGCTAAAGTAATTATTCCATCTTTGCAGTGGCTCCAACATCCTCTAGAATACCAGGTACTTAATGCTATTATCCTTCTTTTTCTGTATTCTTTCACTTTCTACTTGCCCCTTTCCACCAGAATAAAAATTAGTAAGGTCTCTCATGTAATAAGTAGTAAGGTTTCATGTAATAAATAATAACTGAAAAAACAAAAGCCTTCTTAGAAACCACATCTTCCAGCTACCACCCCTTTTCTCTACTTCTTTTCATAGCCAAATTTTTGGAAAGTTTTTAATTGCTGCCTCCATTTATCCCAAATCTAATCAATCAAATAATTCTCTTGATTCTACACTGTATCTCAAAACCAATCACTATATTCCTACTCTGGTCCAAGCCATGATCATCTCTCCTTTGACAATACTTCCTATCATTTCCTACATTCACTTTTGCCCTCCAGTCTTCTTTGCACAACAACTAAAATGTTATTTTAAAAACTCAAGTCTCATCATGTTAACTCCTTCATTAAAAATCTCAAAGTTTTTCTTTGAACATAAATCATCATGGTTTATATATAGCCTAATGGGATCTGGCCCTTATCTTATTTTAATTCTCTAACTTAGCCTGGCTTCCTATGTCATAATCATACAAGTTTGTTTTCACTTCTGTGAAGTTTCTATGACTTTATCAACTTAGCACACTCTGCCTGAAATATTTATCTAGCATTCACCTCACTCCTACTTATCTCATCTTTTGGGTTTCAGCTTAAGCTCACTTCCTCAGAGAAACCTTCCCTAATCCTCCCAGAGTAGGTTAAGCCTTCCAGATATATGCTTTTGTTGTACCTTGTAATTTTCTTTGTAGCATTCATCATAATTATAATTAGTTATTTACTTGACATTTATTTCCCTTGCTAGATGTAAACTTCATAAGGATTTTTGCCTTGTTCAGTGATTAATTTCCATATTACTGCCTGGGTTATAGCAAACATTCATACATTTGTTGAATGGTTGAATGAATGAAGGAAAGGCCATATTAAGAATATAAAACATGATAAAAACAAATCCTTTACAGTGAGAACAGACCTTCTTTTTATTCATATACTGAGATAAACTGCAGAGACTGAAAGACAAAAATTCATCATAAATCATTCAGCAGAACATTCATTAAAAATCAAATGCATTTTCTTTAACAGAGTTCTCACACAGAAAATTTTATTTTATATTAAGTCTGATATAACATTAAATATTTTACAAATCAGACATTTCATTGACATTTCATTTTGAAATCTAATTGTATAATCTTGAATGCACTATAGACAAAGTAAGATCTCCTTTACCAATTTCACTTCATTTAACTTACACAAGGCTTCCAGTAAAATTCCATCACACCTTGAAAATTACCTGCAGCTTTTAAAAAACATGATCTAAACTTCATATGGAAAGAAAGTCTTATGTAGCAACCCAAAAATTAAACAAAAAAGGTAAGAAGCATTTCTTAATACAAATAAATTATAAAAATATTATTTATGTGTGAGTTTTTTTCTTCTCATTGATATAGTCATCCATCCATATACAGTCCAAAGCAGTTCATTTTTAAATTGATGCTTAAAATACTCCAATGTCATTGAAAAATCTATTATTTTAGTGGTGCTCTTAAATGGCAAAGTAGAATATCAGATTAGAATGTCCCAACTCCTGGACTGAAGTGAATGAGACATTCACATTCATGCCAGATGTCATCTGTTATGCAGTTACCAGACAGCTTGGCAACGAGTAATTCCAATTTTTTATGGTAACTTACTAAAACATTCCAAGAAACACTTCTTACCCCTACATACTTGCAGATTGCTATAGAAAGATACAATTATATTTGAAGTATGGGCCTTATAATAGGAATCTCTGTTAAAATATGGAAAAGATCAACAGAAAGAATCCACACCAATGAAATTCTGTGGACTGATTTTCAAAGTTAGAAATAAGAAAATCCACTGCTAATGGAAGCCCTGCTCTGTGCAAATATAATGTGGTATATATTAAACAATCACATATTTGAGGTATTAGCTGGAAAAAATATATATATATACGTGTGTGTGTATATATATATATATATATACACACACACACACACACACACACACACACGTATACATGGACACATCCACAGAATATTCACAAATCTATTGGCCCCAAAACCAGCAGATAATAAAATTAAATAAATGAAAAGGAATCACATATCAACAGGAAAGTTACACACAGGAAGTTACAAAAAATGTGCTTACATAATCCTTAATATAAGGAATATGTTTTGAACTAGTGTTTTGAGGGAAAATATTTCCACTTATACGAAACTGTCTATTTAATAGTAATAAAACAAAGAGGAAGCCTGAATTCGAGGACTGTATTGCCTGCCAGATTATTAAAGGAATGTGCAAGAATTATTGAAGATCATCATTCTACCCACTTCTTCTTTGAACTTAAAAATTAGAATTAAAAAAACTTTGAAGTTATTGTGAGACTACTCTCTTTTCTTTTTCATGGGTTTATGGAGAATTTTATGGACTTTGGGCAGTAGTCCAATATGGCCAAGAGACAAGGTTTTTCAGCTATCTAGTACAGATTAAAATTAAGATTTATTGTTCATTTTCAGAAGATTTTCTGTTCAGTTAAGAAAAAAGATTATGGGGCTTCCCTGGTGGTGCAGTGGTTGAGAGTCCGCCTGCTGATGCAGGGGACACGGGTTCGTGCCCCGGTCCGGGAGGATCCCACATGCCGCGGAGCGGCTGGGCCCGTGAGCCATGGCCGCTGAGCCTGCGCGTCCGGAGCCTGTGCTCCGCAACGGGAGAGGCCACAACAGTGAGAGGCCCGCGTACCACATAAAAAAAAAAAAAAGAAAGAAAATTATGAATGCCTTTTCAGTTGGTTCACTCAGTATGACGACAGATAATAGTAAGAGTAATACTGAACACAAGCTTCATATGGGAAAGCTAAATAAGTGCACAAATTCTCCTTTTGAATCATTTGGTCTTTTGACATAATTCTTACTTAACTAAAAAGATGGCTCATTTGGTCCTCAGGCCAACATCTAGAAATATTTCACTGCCTTAACACAGGTGGGATATTTTTTAAATGAAATACGTTAGAATGCATTATTAAGTAATACTAACATGTCACATCTGTTAAATAACAGCTGCATTTAAAAATATTACAAATCAACAAAGGGAAATCAAGAGGTTAACCATTTCTCTCAGTAACAATTTTACATACTAGTATAACTAAAGATTTAACAGGAAGAACACTTAAGCATGAAAGTGCAATTAAAGCAAAGGGCTGGAATTCTATCTTCCTGTTCCTAATAACACCTGAGCTGACATAAAAGCAAAGTTGTTTAATGCACTGGCATATATATATACCTTAAGGGCTTACTCTTCTCTACCAAATCTTTGTAATTATCATATGTAAGAATGTAATGATTATGAAACAAATACTTATTTAAGCATTCAAATGCAGTCTGTTCCCAAAACATATTGTTTTCACTTATTATTTCTCATTGTTGAGAATTAAATTCTCAGATTTGATCACAATAAATTCCAAAACTTACAAATGACTAGCACCTATTTGGAAACAAAGGAATTAAAAGAGGAGGAGAAAAGGTACTATTTACTTTCCCCCAAATCCTTGCAAAGACAATGATGTTTGTGTATGTGTTTTAAAAGGGATAAAAATGTAAAGCACTAATAAATATAATTGCTGCCAAACTTCTAAAATACCAGTTAGAAAAGCTAGTAAATCAATACTCAAAGATTGAGGGCTTTTAGGCAATGATTAAAATGAAGAGGACAAGTTATCAAATTAAATTGGAAAGCTCAGGTAGCTAAAAATAAGATGGCAAAATGGAATTTTTGTTAGAAGAGCAGCAAATGTGAAAATCTTACATCTCAAGATAGCTGACACTGTAAATCATACACTTTGATTAAAAAAAAAAAGATAGTAGAAGTCTTTTTACTTTGTAGAATTAACCCAAAATTCTAAGACACTTGGACGGGCCTTTACACCATGATATAGGTGACATTAAGGACTTACTTTTTACTTGCATACTTTACATGTGGCTTAAATTGTCAGGCACTCGATCAGTCATTTCCCACAGTTGTTTGAAAATTTTATCAAATGCATTTTATGAAATGAAATGTAATGCAACTGAAATATAGTACTGTCCAAAAGCCATGTATGACTTCACAATATATAACTTCACTTAACTTGATAACTTCACCTATCCCCTTGAAGTCAGGATTAAGGGAAAAAGAAATCAGTCAACAAGAGTTCAATTCACATAAGCATCAATCACAATAGTGTAAATATCCCATTAAAACTGGAAAAATAATGGATGAAACTTTTTTCATTTATATTTGTATAAGTTTTCTGATGCATATAAACTTTCAAAGTTAATTAGAATGCTATGACCTTGTTTTTAAGAAACTAATTCTATAGGCTGAAGAAAATATTTTAAATTGTATTTTCTTTTAAGCACGATATTTTTTCTTTTTAAGGTTGCATTTCTAAAGAAAGTTGGTTAAGCTGTTCAGTTTTCCTAGGATAGTATGCTGTTTAGTTAAACAACTAATTCAATCAAGATTTCTATTGATTTACCTGGAAAAGGGGATACAAGAGAACATTTAAAAAAGAATGGTCATTTCAGAAGTTCTATTCAACAGATGGTATATAAATTACATTCAGAAAAAAATCTTTAAATAAAAGAACACTGCACTCTAACTAGCATTCTCTCACACACAAAAAAACCTAACCAAAGATGTGCTCATGTTCTGTTAAATGAGTATGAAAGCAAAATCATTAAAATACAACCGTTAAACATAGAAGAAAGAAAAAAAACATAGACTAGAAATCAAATAGTTTCACATCCAACATACAGGCACCAAAAACTTCAATTTCCAGCTGATTTTTCCAATGTATATTATGGATTTAATTATAAGGAGCTTATTCCTATAGGATTAATTGAATTACTCAATGGTGAATAGATTTTAGCTCAAATTTTTGTAAGGATAACTTGCTATAAATCACTATTCTACCTACTGCTATGTTTCTGCTCACTGCTGTATATGGCCAAACAGATCATGCTCTGATCAAGTAAGTCTCATGTTAATCTACCTATATGTTTACGAGTTGGCAATCAGGTTAAAAGGCACAAAGCTTCATTTCAGTAGTAATTTTTCCTATTACTTAGACAATATTAAGAACTCATTTAGTTTCGGATCCTGTTTACTAAGGATCCTGATCACTAAGAAGAAACTGCAAATTTCCATGGGGGGTAAAACAGGTAGGCCCTTTTCTTCATAAATTTTAGCAGCCTTCAAAGATGTATATATATGAACATTTGGGGGCCTTTTAGTTACTGGAATTGCAAATGACATAACTGCAATTTACTGTTGAAGACCCTTTTTGGTTAATGTTTATATAGCCGTTTCCTCATATTTTCTTTAAAATCTATCAGTATAGCATTTCATTTCTATGCATGGCTTAGCAATTCATAAAACTAAATAAATAGCAAACTGATACTTTACACCAGTTCATTTATCTCAATATATAATTTAGAATATAATGGCAATATTAAAAATATCGATTCCCTCTACGCTGATAATGCTACAAGATTTTACACAAAGTTAAACAACTTTTGTTTTTTCTTTTCTTTTTGATAAAGTTTCATTGCAACCTCCACACACTGGACATCTGACAAGGAAAATGTAATTTCGTCATAAAACATTTATTCCATCACTTTAAACTAAAGTGTCTCATGGAGCTAAACACCAAAAGAATTTAAATAAAAAGGCAATAACCTGTATATACAGAAAATGATCATTCCATAAATATTTACATGACAAGGGAAAAAAATTGAGAATCTAAAACCAGAAATGGCTACAGGTGTGATAATCCTTTCTCAAGACATTTTTAGTTAGGAATCATATAAGCTTTTAAAGTGAAAATAATTACAGAAGCATAACTAAAATATTAATTTTAGTTTTCAGTTTCTTACTATTTAAAGGAGCCAGTAGGTCATAAACAGTCCAAGATTTCAGGGACCAACTATTCAGTTTAGTTTTCAACATCAAATCTTTTTCTTTAGCTCTCATGATGAAACTAAACTTACTTACAGAAAAAATAGAGAGTACTCTAAAAGGTATAAATAAAATTCCAGTTCATCCTCCTTTATAAATACTTGTCAGCCGCTCCAATTCTTTACAGTTGTCCATGCTCAAGGCATCTGCCTTCCTTCGGAGTCGTTCATCATGGTATACTTTTGCTGCATACTGCATATCTGTTTCTGTTAACAACAACCAAAAAATTTTCTAAGTAAATAGTAATTTAGATCAACTAGTTGTTTAAACTCAAAGATGTTTTCATGTAAGTCCTTCAATATATTTCTATTAACTGTTTGTTTGTTTGTTTTAAAGAAATCCAAGTACTAGACCTAAAAGCCATTTGGAATCCTACCATGTGAAACAAACACAGAGGGACTTCCCTGGTGGTGCAGTGGTTAAGAATCCGCCTGCCAATGCAGGGTTCACAAGTTCGAGCCCTGGTCCGGGAAGATCCCATGTGCTGCAGAGCAACTAACCCTGTGCGCCACAACTACAGAGCCCATGTGCCACAACTACTGAAGCCCTCATGCTCTAGGGCCCACGTGCCGCAACTACTAAGCCCAAGTGCTGCAACTACTGAAGCCAGCACGCCTGGAGCCGGTGCTCCGCAACAAGAAGTCCATGCACTGCAACAAAGAGTAAGCCCCGCTCCACTGAATTTGTTGAATTGTATATTGAAAATTTTAAACATACACAAGTTGAGTACCACAATAAACACTCTAAAACCCCTCACCTTGATTGACCAATTCTTCACATTTTGTGAAACTATTGATATTGATCTTGTCGGATTGTTAAAAGATTAAACTAAATTATGCCAGAAAAACTACTTGGCTTATGCTAGGGGTGGAGTAAAAAAAAATAATAATAAAAAATAATAATATAGAATACTTATGTACTTATGGGTACAAGACATTACGCTAAGTGTTACCATATATTATCTGTTATGGTCCATATTTTAATGACAAGATAACTAAGATTTAGAGAGGTTAAGTAACTAGGTAATGTGTTGGTGAAGACAGGATCTTGCAAGGCAGTCCCAGAGCCAGCACTTTAAACATAACATTACACTCATTCATAAACATGAATATCTTTCCTTCTTTCCTTCTGTTTATGCAGTCAATTCCCAATTTTTATTTAAGGTAATAAAATGTAAGTATGCATAACCCCCAAATCACCCGTATTTGGCTGGGGACTAGGACTTGTATTTGAAAATGAGATATCTAATGTGCTCATCATTCTTTTAGCACAAAATAAGCAGGTCTTTCATACATTCATTCATATGAATTCATTAATCATTCATCCAACTGTTCATACATCCATCAAAAATTTACTCTGCCTATATTGTACCAACAATTGTGCAAGGTGCTACAGATCAAAAAATTAGGTGAAATAAAATTAAATAAGTAAAATTTGGGAAATACTTCCCTTAAGACCTTTAGCTAACGCATGGTTTCCCAACCTCAGCAATACTGGCATTTGGGGCTAGATAATTCTTGGTGTGGAGGTTGTCCTGTGCATCCTAGAATGTTAGGCAGCATCCCTGGCCTTAACCCATCAGATGCCAGTAGCAATCCCTTCCACCCCAACCCCGTGTTGACGCACACAGTTTCCAGACATTACCAAATGTCCCCTGGGAGGCAGGGGCAAATCATTCCCAGCTGAAAAACCACTGGTCTTATGTAACCTTCTCCACTTTGAGAACATACTGATTCACAGACTCAGAGACTTAGAAACCAAGGAGGTTTCTCCTCTAACTATCAGTATATAGATGAAGAAACCAATGCCAGAGATAAGAACTCTCTTAGAAGTATACAATGGTTATGTTTTATCAAATTTTCCCTAGTGAATAAGAGATGATAATTGCTCCCATTTTCTGAGTATTTACTACATGTGAAACACTTCAACTATTGCCTGATTTAATTTTCACAACAAGCCCATAGTTAGGTATTAGAGAGAAGACTGCGAAGCACAGTGCCTAGATTATGAAAGCAAATTGGTTTTGAATCACAGATCACCTCAATGACCTTGGGCAAGTTACTAATTAATCTCTCTATGCCTCAGTTTCCTCATATGTAAAGTGGGTATAATCGCCTCACAGTGTCATTGTGGAGCTTAAATGAGTTAATATATATAAAGGCCTTGGGACATGACTGAAAAAATAGGCATTATATAAATTATAGTTACTTCCTGTACCCACTCATCATCGTCATCATCCACTTTATACACGAGGGAATAAATTCATAGAGGTTAGAATATTCGGCCTGAATCACTCAGTTAAAAATTTCAGACCTAGGATTCAACTTTAGCCTGTTTAATTCCAATGTCTACACTATATGGTCTATATTATTATCTGGAACAGTAAGAAAAACAAAAAACTATAATAACAGTTCACATGGAGCATCTCAGCAGATTCTTACGGTCAATAGTCAATATTTTTATAGATATAACTGCTTAAATTAAGGAAGCTGAGGCTGGAAGAGCCTAAACAAATTAAGTGTTCACAAGAACTTCTCTACCTACAAAATAAGTAAAGGAAAGTGGAATGTCAACAAAACTCATTGTACATTAAGTGTTACCTGTTGAAGCTAAATTGATGAAGAGTTTCAAATTTAATTCTGAAACAGGATACATATTAAAACTGATGACATAGTTTATACCAGGATTTTTTTCTTTCTTAGTGGTACATAAAATAATGTTGCATGTTACAACTGACAACATCTTAAATACAATGAAATTTGATATTATCTACTTATTTCATCAAATATTTATTAAGAACAATAACATAAACACCGTTTATTAAGTTCTTGCCATGTGCCAAATATTGTTATAAGACCACATGTACATTAAAACATATTGTCTCATTTAAGTACTGGGCTCCGAGTATGTGCCAGGCAATTCTAGAACATTCCTTGAGTAGGGAAATCTACAGTAATCAATTCCAAAGACTCTGAATAAGTTTTTAGATGTTAAATATTTGATAAACTTACTTTGTTGTCTTTCTTTCCAGCAATTATTTCGAATATTAGTCACATAGTCTTCTTCCACACTCTTTTCTACCTTTTGTAATAACATTCCTTTATATTCATTTTTAAAGTCTTTGTTGACATAATAAACGACACCCAAGTTTTCTGTCTGCATTTTAATCGTTTGCCCTGATCCACTGTAAAAGAAATGCTTGATCATTATTTTTTTAATTAAAATTGTACATTCTGATCTGCTTCTACAAATCAAGCTAATAAAAATAATTAAAAAGTCAATATTGGTAATCAAATATTTAATATCATCTCAAATTACCTAAAACCACCACTTATGTCATAAAAAAGTAATCATATTTTAATACATTATGTTCCTATAAGTTCTCTCAATTTTTAGTTAATAAAAAGCTTATTTGGAAAAAATAAATCACTTCTTATTTTTAGACCAATCTGTTTTTAATACTATATAATCACTAGCAATATGATTTTACAAAGTTTCCATTATATTCATTGTATTACACTAAAGTTTTCTGGAAGGTATGCTGCATTAAATTTGCTATATGTCCTGATCACTTATATATAAAGTATATTGTGGAAAAATACCTCACATAACAAAAAAGTAATATTTGCTTTTATTTAATCAATATTTTATAAACAGAAGAGTGAAGTCATATCCTCTTTAACGACACAAATCCTATGTGAGATCAATCACAACTCTATTTTTGTCTTTAAAGTCTTCTAAAGCTTTTTGTCTTTGATGTCAACACATTACCTATTACATTAAATTGCCATCAAGTTCAAACGTAACACTTCTGTCTTTATCCACAATAGAAGAGAAATGTAAACTAACGTAATACAAACTTATTGCATAAGTAAACTACCTTTAAAATTAGACATTTTAAAATCAGGTACACACGTAGTAATAGAATATTTGGCACTTAAAAGTTTAAAAGAGGACAAGGCCCTTTAAAGTTAGTTAGGTAAGAAACAAGAGTTCTTTTTTTGTAAAACTTCACTGAGCTACTTACGATCTGGGATATAAGGAATAAGGAGGATTAGAGACCATCAATTGGCTTAATAATGACACGAGGATCAATACAATAATGGGCATCAGCTGGATAAACACAGAAAAACCTCCCTACAAAAAAATCATCAAAGAATAACAAATTGTAATATAACTTTAGTTGTCAATAATCCAACAATTGTCAAACATTTTTAGAGGAAGAAAGGACATTTGAGATCATCGGTTCAGTGCTTCCAAATCTGCCTGATCATACCAACGTCCTGGGGTGATTCTTAAAATATAACTTTTTAGGTGCTTCACCTAGAGATCCTGATCATGATTTGGAAAACATTGGTATAACCTGATCTCATTTTACAGATGAGGAAGTTCTCTGTCTCCCTCTTTTTCTTCGTACACAGAGACTCTATCAATACGCAGCAGGTTGCAAAACTATTTTTATCATGGATTTGAGGGTGGAACATGGACACTGATGAGAGTGGCACAGCTGGGGACCAGACCTTTTAATTTCTGGTCCAGTGCTCTTTCCATTTACCTTTCTCCTTCACGTAATTTAACAGCTATATGCAATTAGGTATAACTGCATTAGAATAAGGCAAGTTACTTCTAATTTAATTTTTTCAGTATTAATTCTAAATTATTTAGAACCAACAATAAGAATTTACGTTCAGAACATGCACACTGCAAGTTTACCTTCATTAGAATCATAGAATACCAAATGTGAAGGTGTCATATTGCCCAACCATCCCTCACCTTGACTTCTACCCCTGCTCCCCCAATATCCCTAAGGATTCTCTAGTCTCTATTGAACACCTCTGGTAAAAGAAAACTCATCACTTCCTTTTAAAACAACTTGCCCTATTTTCAGACAACTCTATGCTTTTCCTGAGCTGAAATTTGCCATTTTCTGATTTCTAATCATATCATAAACATACATCTCCTCTTTCTTCTTCTCTTTCATGTCCACTATGTTGATGTTGATGTTGACTGCTATAGCCAGCTCGTCCATTTGAAAATGAATGTACACTACCTAGAAAGTTAAAAGCAAGGTTAAATTAGGGAGAACAATTATCATCAGAAAAATCATATTTTCCTTTATATTTTTATTTATTTATTTTAATTACTAAAACAATGCATGTTTGAGTAATGAATGCTTATTGCCCTCTCCTCTTGTGAGTGAAGGGTGGACAAAGCCAGGAATGATTCTTCTTTGCTTCCCTTAAACTAAGGAGAAGCGCTTTCTTGATGAAAACTTGAATGAGAGGTCCTCCCTAATACTGCATACAGAGAGGACTTTTGCTGTGGTTGGTTGATTTTACAAACCTTGGATCATTAATCTGAAACTCTGCTTTCTGCATTTATCAATGAATCACAAGTACTTCTAGAAATCAAAAGCTCATGCTCTGATTCATTTTTTAAAAAACAGCTGTATAATATACTATGGTACAGGTGGACCACAATTTTCAAACATTTTCTTGTTGATGGACATTCAAGTTGTTTTCAAAAAAGGTGACCAACCAGAAATGGCTATCACTGATAAAGTAAACTATGTTATAACAAGCAAAAGAACTGCAAATCAACTATCAGAAAAATTCACTATTGTCTGAAAGATTTCTAATTGTTCCCAGCATATTTTTAGTCAAAATTATTAGTCTGAATAATTTTTTTGTGAGAGGTAATTATGTATCCTAGTATGTCAAAATGCAGGTTATATTTTCAGTCATTAATTTGTATTTACACATCCTCTTTCTTTCAAGGATGCTTTACAAAATGCCTTATCAATGATCACAATCTTTCTCAATCATATCCAGACAGGACTACCAGGCCAAATTATATTGCTACATTCATAAAGACTATCCTAATTTTGAATGGGATGTTTAACTTAGCACCTTTTGTTACTGCTGTAAACAAGACTGGACCTATAATTTTAAACACCTTAGAGAAGCTACTCTTAAAGAAAATTAATTTCCACACAAGCAACTTACAGTAAATGTAAGTAAAACACAGTACTACTTATGCTGGTACTAAAAATCTATTCATTTAGTAGTACTTCTACAGTATTTTACTTTGATAGCGTAGTTTAAGAAATTATTTGTATCTTAATGTAATTTTTTAAAACCCACTTACTTTATATGTAACTTATGATTCAGACATTTCAATGGACAGTACCTCCACATACATCCATATTAACAATCTACAATATTATTAATGAAATCTACAAAGATCTTCAAAGAACCAATGTCAAATAGTCTTTCAAGGTACAGGTTACCTCCTACAATTGTATTGGCACTTAACTAATGCATTGCCACTGGATTTCCTACTTACAGATCCTTTCTTCAGCTCTATGTAAAATACACATCTTTTAAAAAATAAAGTATGTTCTAGAAAAAAGACAGACTTACAATAAAGGTAATAAGTCTAACAATTTTCTTCTATCTTCATGAAAAACCATCACAGGATCATAATACTATAAGAAAATGTCAGGGAGAAGGTACATAAATCTCTAAATAGCCTAACTGGAGGTGATGATCTCTAGCTTCATAAAGTACACATATTTATAACTAACATTAAAATACCTGAAGGAAATCCACCACCAAAGAATATATTAAACAAGTCTTCTGGAGTTATATCAGCTTCACAACCTCTATGGAAATTAAATCTACCATTGTTCTGCTGATTACATGCTTGTTCTTCATTGCCTGTGAGGTCATACTGCTTTCGTTTTTCTGGATTGCTTAAAACCGCATAAGCATTTCCAATCTCTGAAAAAGTAATGAGCAAAAGTTGATAAGCAAAGCTTTTATATTATAAAGGACTGCCCCATATAAAGGCTACTTGTCAAACAACAACAAAAAGTGACTTGAGGTTAATCAAAAAAATAATAAGACAGTAACAAGTTCTTTTAAAGGTATTATACATTGCTTACAATTACACATATTACCTCCCAATACAATTTTTTATATTATCCAGGCAAGTCTCCCTACTGCCTTGAACATAAAGGAATGCTCATCTTGCTTTCTTACCATTGTGCTCCCCTAACTTCCTGCTTCTTTTCTTGAGTATCCCAATGTAGTCATTCATTACTGCCCTTCAAACCAATAATAATAGCAGTAGCCACCAACTACCAGGCTCTGACCTCAATATCTTATTACTTTATCCATTAGTATCTCAACTTTACAGATGAGCCCCCTGAGGTTCAAAAAGGTTAGGAAACTTGTTCAAGATCAAATTTATTTTAGGATAGTAAGTAAACTCTATGCAACCTACACCATAAACCTTTTTTTGCACACTCCAGCCCAGAGTAAGCTATTCTTCATTTTATTCCTGAACAATTTATTTCTCTTAAACTGTCAACTCCATGAGGGTAGGGACTGTATCTAAGTTTTCACTGCAATATCCCCATGGTAGAGCATAGAGACTGAATTTGTTTTGAATGAATCCATATATCCATATCTCTAGTCCTCCTATCTCACTTTGCTACTTTCATGATATTCATAAAGAATTCTATTGCCTACCTCATACTCCCATGTCCAAAAGAGCACATTAATTACCAAAATGTCTTCTCGAGGTAATTTACAAAAGCTGTAATGCTTTAATCAAAATGCAAGAATTACTCTATTCATATTCTGAAACATCTAATAATTAATCATTTTATAAGAGCAGCTTACTTCTTAAACTGGATCATAAACCTCTTGCATATGGGATTATTTTAAAAATACTTTTGAGATCCCATGTGGTGGCTGCCATAGGCACTGTGCAAGCAAATACATGCTCATTAGGTAGTTGTTTCTGGAGGACTACATATCACACTGAAATTAATCATATACAGATACTCTAGACCCTTTCTTCTGAATGAGAGATAGCTTTCAGGTGGTCTGTGAACCCTATGGTATGAAAAATTAGGTGGATGGTCCATTTATCTGAGGAGATGGTCCAAAACCTTCTTCAGATTTTCAAATAGATCTGTGACTCAGAAATACAGCAATCATTTATAATGCTGCTCCAATGGAGAAGTACAATCAGAGATCCCAGCAATGTACTTACAAACACCATCAAGGTATTAACACATACCTAAAAAAGAAGTATATCTTTCAATATCTGCCAAAGTTGTACTTCGAGTAATAATATCAGTTTTAGGATTTAACCTCTATGCACTAAAAGGACTATTTCAGGTTCATAATGCTATTGCTTTTTATACTAATAATATATTGGCAGCCCAATTCTATCTTTAAAGCTTTGCTTTTTAAAAAAAGGACTTCCAAACATTATGATGTTTTAGAAAATATTTGTGAAAGATTGTCATAATTCATAATTGTATATGTAAGACAATTTATTCTATCTACTGTGACTAATCTTCTATTCACTTACTTTGTGCTATACCTATAATCCAGATTTTTTTTTCAGGTCCTTATTATCTTACGAATTAAAACCAAAATTTATTTTGGTATTCAAAAGGCTCACAAAATACATTTCCATCTCAGTGTTATTTACTTCACTAAAAGATACCTTCTGCTTTATTCATTTTTCCTTAATCACACTTTTGATATCTTGAGGTTAACTTCAGATTCACATGAAGTTGTAAAAAATATTACAGAGAGATCCCTTCTACCTGTTACCTAATTTCCCCAATGGTAATATCTTATAAAATTATAGCACAGTATCACAGATAGGATACTGACACTGATATAATCAGGATATAGAACATTTCCATCACCGTCTCAGGTTGTCCTTTTATAACCACACCCACTTCCTTCCCCTCCATCCCCTCTTTAAATCCCCACAACAACTAACCACTCTATTCTCTATTTCTAAAATCTTGGCATTTCAAGAATGTTATATCAATGGAATAATACAGTATATACAGTATATAAATAGAATGGCACCTCCCAGATTGGCGTTTTTCAATCAGCATAATTCTTTGGAGGTGGATCCAAGCTGTTATGTAAGCCATTCATTCCTTTTTTATTGTTTTCCATGGTATGGATGTTTGTTTCACTAATAACCCAGTGAACAACATCTGGGCTGTTTCTAGTTTTTGGTTATTACAAATAAAACTGCTACATAGGGACTTCCCTGGTGGCGCAGTGGTTAAGAATCCGCCTGCCAATGCAGGGGACTCGGGTTCGAGCCCTGGTCCGGGAAGATCCCACATGCCGTGGAGCAACTAATCCCGTGTGCCACAGCTACTGAGCCTGCACTCTAGAGCCCGTGAACCACAACTATTGAGCCCATGTGCTGCAACTACTGAAGCCCACACACCTAGAGCCCATGCTCCACAACAAAAGAAGCCACCGCAATGAAGAG